GTATAATTAAAATACAAAATGAATACACATATAATTCCTTGGTTGAGATCCTTAAAGTTTTTTAGTGTGATTACCTTAGTTTTTATGTATTTTAATTTAAAGATATTTTAAGTATACTTAAGATATTCTGTATAAATAATACTCTATAACTTAGGTCCATATTTTTAATGTACACAGAGAATTTTCCATTTTGAAAATGCATATTTGCATCATATTTAGCAACTCTAGTTATTTAATTATGTGTAGTGCCACAGAGCCACTCATCTCAACCAAATAAAATTACTTAATAGTAATGATTTGAATTTTAAACTATATGTAAGTAACTTACAATGTTATTGATAATTTCTTAATATAAACAAATAGGAATTGTTTTTATAAAGGTCATGTTGGGTACATTTGGTAAAAATGTGTAATGATGAGACTTAATTTAAACGAAGGTTAACATTAGCGTTTGAAGTCAATTCAGAGCTGCGGCAGGGAGACACGTCGAGAACCTCCAACTTTGTTTAACTTGGGACTAGAAAAAGTTATAAGAGAATCTTATAAAGACCAAAGAATAGAAATAATTGGTGAAAAAACTGTTTTAGCGTATGCTGATAACATAGTTTTCTTACATAACATTTAAGAGAAAGTTACCCACTCACTTTCTAAACTGAAAAAAAAACCAGCAGAACCATGGGTTTACATATCAACGAAGAAAAGAACTTATAGTACAATCTAGAAGAAATATAGACTAATCAAACATGAGAGTGGGAAGTATGAGTTTTGAAAAGGGTGATAATTTCAAATAATTGGGTGTTGAATAAACAGCAGTAACAACATGCATAGGGGAAAAAAAGAATATTAATTGGAAATCAATGTTACTCTAGCATAAACAAGTTGCTGGGATCAAAATTATTACCAAGAAAATAAAAAATTACTCTGTACACAAGCTATCTTAGACTGATAGTGTAGAACCTATGCATGTGAGACTAGGTCTTCGACAAAAGAAGACAACAGAAAACAGCAAAATAGAAAAGAAAATTTTAAGACATTTATAGAGACCAGTATGCAATGACAACCTAGGAATATATGAAAAACACACAATGAAGAGCAATAAGGCGTATAGAAAAACCCAATATACTCACATGTATAAGATGCTAACGCCTAGAGTGACTAGGACATGTGTGTGTGTGTGTGTGAGTGTGTGTGTGTGTATGTGTGTGTGTATGTGTGTGTGTGTGTGTGTGTGTGTTGAGCTGATGGAGATTAGTTAAAGAATGTTCTGATAACAAAAATATATAAAAACCATCCACTTGGAAGACCAAGAACAAAATAGAAAAATATATGAGACTGATGAATGAGGATGCAACATTAAACTGGACTTTAAGCAGAAAAAAATGGAGAGGTTTACTAGTGCCATGGCAGGTCCTGACTGCTAAATGGACCATTAAGATGCTAAAGAAGAAGATAGGTAGTATACAGAGTGTAACGGAAAACATCCAGACCAATGAAAATTGATACTAAAGTTAAATGTATTAAATCAATCATGAAAATTGTATGAATAATAAATATGTACAAATAATTAGACAGAATAATGAATACTGTATTATATTACAATAATAGGTAGTTATTACACTAGGTATTGTATCTTTTTCCCCAGTTATTGAATGATGAATTGGTTAGGTGGACGGGTCTTGCTTAGCATTGACCCCCCTTTTTTATGCCACTGTATATTTTACATGTGGTTATGAGTGTAGGCAGTATGCACTGCATAAATTCAGCAACTAATAAATGACAATCTTAGCATATTTGCATGGATAATACAATCATGATCGTTTATCGGAATATACATATACTATAATAAATTATTAATAAATTGTAAGATGTAATAGGTACTTATAACTTAAAGTAATAGTCAGCTAATAGTACCTATTAAGTGGCTGAGTGAAAAGCTATTTATTAAGTAACTGCTTCATGTAAAAGTGGGAGTGGGTGTCAGAAAAGATAGAGAGTTTATAATTTTACTTAAGAACATATTTATGTACTTTTATGAATTGAATTTGATGGTGAAGGGGTTAGCCAGTCAGATTAACAGGAGATCAATTGGTGGGTGGGTATTTTATTAAAATAGATCCGTGAATTCGTTTTTTTTATAAGCATTTAAAGTTCAAATTTTGAAGTTTTCGAATGTTAAAAATTTTGAAATTATTTTGTAGTTAAAAATTATATAATATTCAATTTTTATAGCTAAGAATTGAAAATTTAAAACAAGTTATCTTATACATAACTCATACTGTAACCACAAAATTTAAAAATATATATATTCACAGTTATTTTATAAAGACATTTTAAGTTAAAATAATGACAAAATTACATATTAAAACCAAGAATAAAGATTTTAGAAAATTTGTTGTAGTTATAAAATATTATTCATAGATACTTAAGACTTTTATAGTAAATTATTATACTGTACACAGTATACAAACAAATACACAATGACATTTCCAAATGCAATTTCAATGGCAAAAATGTATTTAACCTACTGTAGTACTGATGCCTAATTATAAAATCAATTACTTTAATCACAATAATATCATACAATTTACAGAGCAATTTATTTAGTAATATTATAGGCTAACAGATCACCTAAGATCAGAATCGTTTTTTTTATACAATGATTATTAAATTCAAATTTAATGCATCCATTACAGTGACTCTCTAGGTTCTAGATGCCTAATGTACAGCAGACCGTTGCTACTCATACGCGTTTATATATCTAAGAACAAATATGTTGAAACAGAAATATAAGACATGGTCGCTTAAATTAATGTAACATCAAGTAAAATTTTTTCAGAAAGAATATTTTAGCTCAGTTGTAAGTAAAAAAAAGATCATCCAAAAACTGAAATTGGAATATATTCAACATTTAAAAATAAAATGGAAGTAAGCATGCATGTAGTAAATTAGAGAGAAAAGCAAAATATTTATGTACAAGTTTTAACTAAACAATTTGATTTAGATAATAAATTATTTAATATATTTTATAAAACTATTGATAACCTATAAGTAGGTAATTACTCATAAAATTAATATACAAAAACAAAGTAAAATTGTTAATTTTTCAGTAGCACATTGTTTAATGATCAATAATTTGTTAGGTGAAAAAAATGGATAAAAACAATGTAATAGTATTGACTACAGATGATTATTATCTACAAATTATAGAAATGGTTTGAAATGTGCATAATAAGTCAACTATAAATGTAGATATTTAATAAAATACTAATTTTAAGAGTTGGCTTTACACAATTGATTGTTTTTTTTAAATTTTAGATAAAATGTCTTACCTGAATGAATATTATTAGCTGTTGTCTATTATCTGAAGTAACAAGCGTTCATTGTATTATACAAACACGTACAATCTGTAAGTGGTCACGAGTAAAACGGGAAATATAATTTTAAGTACACCAAAAATATGTATTTGTTAATTTAAAAGTAAGTCCGAAAATTGTGAAATTAATAAAAGTTAAAACTACCATTCACCAACAAGTTCTTTTCGTCGGATTGTTTTCAATGTTTTCATTTTCTCAGCAGCCTTGAACTAAGCAGATCAGATGGAAATCAGTGTGGGTATTCACATACAATACTTATACTTTATGGAATCGCAATCATTTAATGACAAACCAACAAACATGACGTGTTTGTATGTGCGCTTGAGGACTATGCGAGGAAGGGACACTGGTAAAGACAATCTATATTGCCGAGGGAAGAGATAAGTGGTATTTGTGGTAATATTATATCAAAATTATTATCCAAATGAAATTAAAAAAAAAATCGTCAAACACGGAGTATTGATAGCGGTTAATGACAATGATAAGAGATAAGTGATAAGAGAGACGAGGCGTGCTGTTTATATTTTCGTGTTTCGTCTTAGTTTTTGGCCCGACTCCTTCATTTTTTTTTTAGTGTCAATTATGCTTGACAATAGTCTGTGATTTGTAAATTAATTGCCAATTACTTCGACTTAATGACTTACAGAAGTTACTGGACGATTAGAAAACCAAACAGATAAACAGTCTTAATGTTTGTATTGAGTCTTAGGTAGATAAAACAGATCGTTTTATTCTGTACTTTTTTAAAAAAAATACCTACCATTTAATTTATATTTGTTCAGTGGCGGCTTGTGTATATGTGCACAAGTACCCTACCTCAAACTCGAGAAAAATTGATAACATAAATCATAATAATACAACGAAGTAGGTACCTGTATTGTTATTAAGATTATGTTTCAAAATATGAAATTAGAAATTCAGGATATGAAAATAATATAATATTTTGATTGGGTTATTTCGGGTGGTTGTCCACGTCTGAACAGTATGGGTATACATAGTAGTGCAGTAGTGCACACATTCGCTGTGCACAAATTGTGTACAGTTTAAAAATTGAAACAAGTCAAAATCCGTCACCATTATAAAGGAATTGATGTGCACATAACCAATTAAATCGTTTTCAGCCAATTATTTTTGACGTCACCGTCATGCGTCGGCATTATAATTTATTTTTACTAAATCTTTAAATTTTTTTGAATGTACATTGTACACTACTTCATTGAAAACCTATGAGCTGCAACTGTATTTATTTTTAATATGATTAAGTACCTCCACGAATCAAGGTACATTATAGGACACGTAACGAAAGCCATCAACAAACTGTTGTACCTGGAGCACAGAATATACGAAATGAGAGTTTTCTGTAGAGGTCCTGTCATTCGTGAACGAATAGTTTCGAAGTTCGAAGTATTCCGAACCACTTCAGTATACGTATGCGCCATTCAAACATTAAACTATAGCGAGTTGGAAACTTAGGAATTAGAGTAACAAAAACTGAAATTGTTATCATAAATTCTGAAGTTCACTAATCAACACTTACCATACTTATCAATGTTACTATGACATAACAAAATATTTTGTGTCCTTCGAGATAGCAGGCTGATAAACAATACTGTATTATTGGTATGTATCTTTCGTACATAATACAGTTTCTTCATTCCCGGCATTTCTGTTGAGAAATAATATCTTAGTCTGTGGTTACCACAGGGCACATAATTACCGAATCATAGTATTTGTAATTTTTATATCTAAAATTTTTAATACAAATCTTGAGTTATCGTTATGTATATTTGTTATTAGATTAAAATCTTGTCAAATTTTCGGTACAGAACTCCTGAAACACCATGGCCGAAAACAGCTCTAAGTTTTGGTTCCTTACATTTGAATATTTTAAAAAAGATGTTAATAAACCAGAGGACAATTTGGTCATATTAGTGCATTGGTTGTTGCTGAGAAACAATTTCCAAGTACTTGGACTGCTTGATAATGAGGTAACTATTAAGTTTAATGTACACCTTATCATACTAAACAAAATTACCTGGGTAATTGTCAGAATTGAGTTGTAACTTAGTACAAATAGTAAATTAAAGTAACAAAATTACTCTTTAAAAGTAATTTTCTATTGAGTAACGTTATTTTCCACGTTATTAAAATCAGTTGTAAATGTAAAATGCACGACAAAACCTATTGGCCAGGATATGGAGGAAAAATTAAAAATAAATTCAATTTATTTACCTATGATTAAACCAACTTTTTTAATGAAAACATTATGTCTGGTAATGTGATTGTAATTTAAATATAAATATTTATAACATAACGATTAATGTAATTTTATTGCTTTTGAAAAGCAATTTACCCATCACTGGTAGTTATATATTTATTTTATAATGATTTGATAAATCTTGATTAGCATTAAAAATGTTATAAAGGAGGAGTTTTTGTGTTCAATTTCTAAGATCTGTCTGATTTAGCATCTTTTATTCGGTTTGACATAAACGAGGAAATAAATAATACTTACTAATTTAATCCATCTAGTGGTACCAAAGTTACGCAAATAAATACAAATAGCAGCATGGAGGCTGAAAATAATGTGTCTCTGTCTGTTGATAAAATCTTATTGGACTGGCATATTAATAGCTTAACAAACTTGCATGTTTATTGTATGCTATACTAGTTATTGAACTAGGAGCTTCACATTACATGATAACCATGTCCATTAGTAAACTTTATTATAATGTATTATAAATTATAATATACCAAACAATTCTTAATGCACTAATTAAATTTTGAATCCTCAAAATGGTTACAGTAGGTACATAACATTTCTAGTTATGATTATTTTTATGCTTAATATATCCTACTGTACAGGAAAATTTAATTAAAAATATTTTTATTGCTATATTTTATTTATGTTATGTACCAATGTATATATATTTTTAGGATAAAGCTAATGAAGCCCAACCAACTGATATTTTACCTACAAATTGGTCTCAAAATGAGATGCACAAATTGCATTATAAGCGTGACAATGAATTATTTTTGTTGAGTGGTGTCAAAGCTTGTGATAGCTTTATTTTCAATTTTTATGTACGTATAATTTTAAATATCTAAACATAATTATTAATTAATAATAAATGTCAAACATAATTTATGACTATCATGGTTCTTCTTTACTTAGAATGTAATGACAAAACATGTGGCAAGCGCTGCAATTGGAAATATTAATTCCGCAGTTAAATGGATCAGTGACGTAGCAAATAATAAAGATAAGTTCTATGAAATTATTTGTTTGTTAGAAACTGACCTAATTCATCCCATGGAAAAAGAAAACCTGGATAAGAAAACTATCGGCACTCAGACTAAAAAATCAGTGGAGGATGATCCTCTTGTGTATGTGTTCTTTTTTATTTTATATTTTCAATTTTGTATGGTATTATAAAATTCAGGAATGACATTTATTTTATTCAGAATTCCGAGTGCACATCCACCAAGTTATCGACCTGGACCATTTGAACCATCAAATCCATTTCCATCATATGGCATGCCAGATTTGAATCCTTTAGGAGGTGGTGGTATGCTCTTTGATCCACTTATGCAGAGAAGAGGACCAAATAGACCTGGGTATGGTTTCCTATTATTTTGTATTTAATGTTATTCTATCTCTTAATGATGTTAAATAATAAATATTTAGGGTTCCTCCAATGGCACGTTTTGATCCAACCCGCCCAATCAATCCAGATCCAATGATGCCTGGTAGCTTTAGAGGACCACGTCCAGATCACATGAGACCACCAGATTTTGATGATAGTTTGTATATGTAAAATAATCATGTGAAAAACCATTCAATTTATCTATAAATATTATTATAATTTTAAAAAAATAAATGCAAAAAAAAAGTTTCAATTATTACTAAATTAATTTGAAAATTGTATTACTTATATCAGCGGTGGCCAAACTACGGCCCTCGGGCCAACTCCGGCCCGCCATCATTTAATATCTGGTCCGCAAAAGAACTATAATATTTTATATTTACGAAAAAAATAATTTGAATTTACGTAAAAAAAAAATACGGTATGCATTCTTCATATTTAATCCCGTATCGCCATACCGCAACGTTTTTATTGTTACAATGTCATTTAATAATATAAATAGCATTATAGTATCTTATCTCATTTTCGTACGATCACTATAGCTGTAGAATCATTCTGCCGCCACATAATTTTTGGAAATGTAAGTCGATATAATTTTTTTTTTTTTGTAGTAATTATTAAGTTAAGTATTAAAGAAAGTCATTAAAATTAATAAGTACAATAAAAATGTCGTTAAATATGAAATTATATACCAATACCTAAAATTCTGATGACAAAATGATGATAAAATTTTTTTTTATGGCCAGAGGTAAAAAATATTTGGCCACCCCTGACTTATATCATTAATTTTATAATACACATATTGCGCTTAATGCAAACAAATACAGCAAATCTATCAGTCAAATGCAATTAATCTCATTTAATATTTACTATAAGAAAGATTACCTGTGAATTATAAGATCAATCTCTCTATATAAAAGAAAGTTACTTTAGCAATAATCAACACAAAGCCGAACCTATTTGAGTTATCGAATTGAAATTTTGAGGATGGATTAATATTATAAAGTCAAGGTGCTACAAAAGATTTTATGATTTAAGATGGAAATCCATAATTTTTCTTGTTTATAATTAGTTGACATTGATTATTTACACAGATGAGATGAAAGCATGCATCAAATCTTTGCATTTATGTCATAAAGTAAACAAATTATGTCTTACTACAAATATTAAGGTTGAATGTATGTTTATAGTGTAAATAATCAAATTTAACCAATTTGTAAATATTTTAAATTGTTCTAAGAGGTATCTTGGAAGTTTTGAAAGTAGTTTGAACTACACTTAATTTATACCAAGTGTTATGTCCGAACCACTTCAAGCGAATTGTCCATTTTGATTGAATTAGTTCAGGCAGCAGGGTAGGTATTCCAATTCCGATTTATTTATTTATTTTCCCCTTGTGTACTTAAGTTCACTAAAATCCATATTAAAGTCATGGTTTAAACATAGGTATGTATATTTATGTACATCTACTATGTAAATTTTGTATATAGTGCATGTATCTACTACTCTGTGTCAAGTAAGAACCACAATTAGGTTTAACAGGAATTTGTCGAGGGGGCAAAATACATCAATTTTTTGTGTCACAATCTGATTAGTGGTTAAGTATTGTTGATGATATATTTTCTTTCATATAGGTTGGGAATATAAAATATTATTGATAAATTATGTATGGATATTTAGTTAAGACTAAATTGTACAGCATTCACTTTATTTAATTGATATGTATAATTTTAAATTAACAAATATATTTTTTTAAATAAATTTAATGTGGCCATAGATTTAATAATCTTAGGTTATTTATAAAATTAAATATGTTTCTAACAGGTTATAATAACTTGGGAAATAAATACAATAGGTATACAACAGGTACACTCTATATGTTGGTTTAGATCTAAATACATATAAAACTGAGTCACTATATTTACTTTTTTATAAACCTATACCAAAAAAACATTAAAAATTCTCAGGTAATAAACAAAAATTTCATTTTATTTCTAAAATGCATAAATATGTATATATATATAGGTGTGTAAATCTATTTTCATTTAATATAAACAGAAAATTCAAGTTATTCATTTGTTTAACATATTACAAAAAGGATTAATAACTCATACAATTTAAATCTAAAACAGCGGGTAAGTGGATGTCACTCTGTTGTACATTGGGTGTCTAGAAGGTCGTTGTAGTGGATGCCGGATGGTACTAAACTTGAATTCAATGATATGATATTGTATACGAAAAACGATTTTGATATTAGTTTGTATTATTATTCAACAAATACAGAGTAGATAACTATTTTGAAGGTAGACAAAATATACGATGACACGACGCGTCGACTTGACAACACAAAAATGTAGTTATATCGAAGTAACTTCCACATAGCAACAAATCGCATATCAAATAATAATAATTGCCATAAACATATCATATATTAATTTCAACAAACAAACTATTAAAATTACATTTTTCAGTCTTAATTTAATAACTAATAATACCTAGGTATGTGTTATGTGTACTATATTTATAAACATGCATATTGAATAATATTGTCAAGACTCTAAATGCATCACAAAATCTAAGTCAACAAAAAACACATGTTGGTATAGGTATTTTGGGTATTAGGGTTATTGATAATTATTGATAAATACATAAAGTGATATATGTATATACTATGATCTGTATGTCCAAGCCGTAGGTTATTTTTAATATATAACAGTACATAATATAATAAATAAATAAATGTATGGTTTTAAAAAAAAACTAAGCAAAAATAGTTTTTGGAAGTAAGCATTTTTTAAGTTATTCATAAACAGGGCTCGGAACTGAATTTCATATTTCTTATGAAGCTGAATATTTAAAATCTAATTTGAATGATTCGATATCAATTCGTTTCATGGTGTAGGCATATAAAATATATAGAATCGAAATACAAAAAGCGGCTAAGTGGATGTTGCTGTGATATAAAATCATTCTTTTCATCAATGATTTTTAGCGAAGATGGTATGTCAGCCTATAATGTTATTTAGTATATTTCATGATAATATTATTCTGATTGAAGTCATTTACTTTACTATTAGGCATTAAAACTACAGTAGGTTAAATTCATTTTTGCCAAAAAATGACATTTGAAAAGTTATTGAGTGTATAAAAAATAATAATATTTGTAAATTACAGACAAATAACTAAAATTGCGTTTATTGGTTAAAATAAAGTGTTTATATAATTTTTAGATTTTTTGGTTACAGAATGAGTTACTTAAGTGCAACCTTTCAAATTATAAATTCTTGTTTAAAAAATTTGAACATCTTTTACATTTTATATTTTTAATTTGATAAATGTTGTCAAAATTTGAACTTTAAATGCTTGTAAAAAAATTGTGCCCAGATATTTTTAATGTTTTTCAACATCTATTGTGACAATATACCAAGACCCTTGCAGTATTACATTTTCGAGCTTTTTGACCCAACGAACGATATTTTATTGACATTTATAGAAAAAAAAACTAAAATAATTTAAAATTGAAAATATCCTTTAACAGCTCAAAACAAGTCAAAATCATTTGAAAATGTTATCAAGTATAGAAAATGATAAAATAAACATATGTTGGAAATTTCAAGTATCTTCTGTCATTTGTTTCTGAAATACAATAAAATAAGAAAATCATTCCATGAGAAATCAAGTGAACATCCAATGTTGTACAAATTTCAACTTGAAACACTCATATTAATGTAATTTGACTTTCCGATAGAATTTTTTTGAATAAAGGTAGACAAACTTATAAGGAATCTTGTATCAAATTTTCAAATCTCGGAAAATTTTATGCATTTCTAACTCAAAATAATTTCGTAATTTTCGTGATTATTAGAAATGTTGACAAAATTCTAAATTCAAACGCTCATAAAAAATATTGTGGATTTAAACTCAACTTTTTTTTTTAATGTCCACTAACGACAACAAACACATTTTCAAAGTTTTTTACTTAAAATGTGATTTAGCATTCGTAAAATTACACTTATCTGAGTTATTCATTAATCTTACAAACTTGGAAGCATCGAATAGTGAACTACTTGAAAGTATGAATATATTTAGAAAAATTGAAGATATTTTAGCAAATATTCTTGGCCTAAATGGAAAAAAACCAAAGACAAATTTATGTATGTAATTGAAAAAAAATCTTAGTATGAAGTCATGTCAGGTTTGCCTTTGAATACTACATAATGCATAACTATACAATTTTAGGCTGTATCTTCCAGTCAAGCCAATTTCGGATCAATTTCATTTAAAATAATTCATATAATAAATAAATATGAATCATTAATTTAAATTAATTAATATTGTACACATTTTACAAAATCTATTTTCTTAAATTCTACTTTTTATTTATATCACACATTCACACATATTATAGCAATTCGTGTTTTTTTTATTTAGCAGTTTTGTACACCGAGTTGACGGAGTGTGATTGTTGGGATACCATTAGTTTTTTTAAGAATTATATTTAAATATTAAATTTTTTTTTCAATTATTATAATTATTATAATTTTAGCCCCATAATACATATTTATAAATATAGGTTATAGTTTGTTAAATTTTCTGTGGACCAGCATTGTCTATTATAAAATAGTTTTGCATTACATTTTAAGAAATAACTTTTTTTGAGACAGAGGGAAGGGAAAAAATGTGTTGTTCGGGTCACAAAATTTCCAAATGGCAAGTACGGCCCTGAAGTCAATTGTACACTATCACCTATTCTGCAAATAAATACAAAATATTTACACTAGAATATTTTTAAAAAAATGTATAGATGATTAAGTTAGAAGTTTACTGAGAGATAATAATAGTCAATTAAAATTATACAAAACCATTTTATTCAAACATTCACAAAATCAAAAACGTATATAACACTTAACACATAATCTTGAATTATAAATTAATATGAATATATTTTGTAACAACCAACAATGAGACCTTGTTAGCTAATCAGTTTTCAAATGTGGTGGTTTATCAACTACTACTGCACCATAAATTACTTCAACACTAGTTGACAATGGTTCTATGGTCCAGATTTTAGTGTTGGGATCGTATATTTCTACAGAATCCAAATGAGTAGATCCGTCAAATCCTCCCATAACATACAACAAACCATTAAATGTGACAACGCCTATATTGAAAAAACAAGTTAAATTAATTAAGTTCATTAGCATGATGAAAAAAAAAAGTAATTTGTATAGTTACTTGGATTAGATCGGCACAAGTGCATATCGGCAATAGGAGACCAAACTTCAGCAATTGGCGTATAGGCCTCAACACTTTTATGAATCATTGAACTAGTATTATCCTTACACTCACCACCAATAGCATACATCACACCATCTAAAACTCCTATACCAGGGCATCGGCGACTTGTAGACATTTTTGTGACTGGTGTCCATGTGTCAAGGCTGGGATCATAACATTCAACGGATGTCAAAGAAAATGGGTATTTATAACCTCCTACCTACAAAACGTAATCAAATGAAATAGGTATAACAAATTTTAATTAAAAACAAAAAAATATTTGTTTACCACATATATATGATTATTGAGAATTCCAACACCGAGGTTCATTCTTTTATTAGACATACTAGATACTAATCGCCATTCTTGAATACTCACATCAAAAACCTCTGCGCTTTTTAAATAAGAAACACCACTAAATCCGCCAAACTAGCATTTAATATTGATTTACATTAAAACAACACAAAATTAGTAATAGGTTAGATAACCTAACCAATGGTACAACTTACAGCATATATACGATCATCTAAGACACCAACTCCAAAATAGTTTCGATCGACTAACATTTCCACCGTTGATACCCATTTTAGAGTTTGTGAAGATAAATCAAGCATTTCAATTGATCTTGAATTATTATAATTATTACCCAAGGCAAAAACTAAATGTTCTTTTATTAAGGCTAGAGCACACAATCCATAGCGCATACTCATTTCTGTTGTTTTATGCAATAGTTTGGTTAATGGTTCGTACCAAATTGTGTAACACTTATTCATTATTGATGAATCTGCACATATGCCAAGAATAAACTGATAAAAAATAAATAAAATGAATAATATTATTAGGATAGTTTTAAATCTGAAATCATAATAATAATACTTTTTGTCCAGACTGTCTAGGTGAATTACGAATTGTTTGTGGAATAGTAATGTGCTGATGTTTCTTTAGGATATGGAAATTTAAAGCTTCAATAACAAAATCTTTGCCTAAAAATATTATAATTATAATGCAAAATTATGAATTTACAGTAAAAGCACATTGATGAAAAAAAACATACATTTAGTATTATTTTTAAGAAGAGGTTCCTCAACTACTTTTATTGATATGTACTCTTGAGGTGCTAATGATAAACGTACATGTTCCATTAATATAGGCAAACTGTCATATCTACAATCTAATTCTTGTTTTACCCAATTAATAACACATTCAAATATCTACAACAAATAAATATGATTAAATTAAAATAAAATAAAAACAAATTACAGTAGATCAGTAGCACTTCAATTTTTTTTTTGATTTGACATAGGTAGGTATTTATACTTAGATGAGCTGATCACAAAAGAATATTCTATGTCATTGATTGGAATTTGAAGTAGGTTGTAAGTAAGTTGTTTTCAACAAATAAACTCATAAATAATGAATAATTACATAATATGGTATTCATTTTAAGTTCGAGGTTTGCAAAAAATACCATTACCACAAGACAACCAACTATTATTATTATTTGTAAAACATGTGATTTCACATAAATAAATTAAACACAACAATTATAAATTATAGTATGCATACTTTTTCTTCAAATGGAACGTTAATGTCATCACGGGAGATTAGCTTTATCACTTCTTCAGAAGATAAAGATAGAAACTCATCAGTTTCAACCACTTTTCTGAAAATCATGATCATAATATTTACGATTCACTGACAGAGTAAAATTTAATAAAGCTTACAAAAAATATTTTTTAATGTATTCTTCAGAACTTGACAATAATTCCATACAGTTATAAAAGTCAGCAAATTCTTTGATACCAAGACAATTTGAAGGATTCAGTTGATTTTGTAAAAACTCAACACATGTACTTTTTACATAATCCAATTGTAAGAGAACAGCAGCTGGTAACAAAACCTATACAAATAAACAATAATAAAGAATTTAAGTATTTTAAGTAATTTTGGATACAATTCAAAATAACCAGGGTCATATAGTTTTACGAACATTTATATTTGCAATATTCACAACTTACATATTTTATTGAATATTTTTAATTGTAGGTAAATACTCGTATAAGTAAATCAAAAATAAAAATGTCATAACATTTTCAGTACACTCGGTAAAAACCATCCAAACAAAATCGTTTAAATAGTTTTACAAATTATTTTCACTCAGTATGTTTAATTCAATTTTTTTTATTAGCTTTTAGCCAAATTATTGTTGAATAAAGTATATAAAAATCCATATAGTGTTTAAGTTTCGTCACTTCATATTTTTATTTAACACATTGGCAAATGGCTATGGAAAATCAAATAGTTATATTATACATACCAGCACATTTTGTTCGGTAACAATGATTTCACCAGTATAAATATAATCCACCAAGAGTTGTAAAATGTTAGAATCTAACTCTTTTATATTTACAAGATCTTTATCGCTTTCTGTGAAACTAGTGAACATTGCACGGAAATATGGACTAGCTGATACTAAAACAACTTTATGTCCGTACACTTTTTTACCGTCATCTGTTTGCAACTTAATATCACAGAATAACTCTTCCCTAAAAACGTAAAACTAGTAATTAATATTTATTTTAATAGAACCTAAAATGACCTATTCAAACGTCATACTTGCGTAAAGATTGTAGAACTTCACATAATCTGACATTGTGAGAGCTATTTATGTATATTTTTGATTCACATCCATTTGATTTCAGAACTTGCTTTTGGCCACTTTTATATGATACAACATGTTGTATGGGATCCATCTATTTTATGGACATAACTTGATAATCAAAAATTATAGATTATTTATACTATTTATGTGAATAGGTACTAAATTTAAGGATAATGACCAATGAAATAATTCCTAGCCTGCTAGGGATTTTAGTTGGTATCTTTACATACTCAAGGAGTCAAGTTATATTAAAATGAATCCACAAATTTAGTGTAAAATATAAACGTCTTGCAAATCGAAATAACTACCACAAGATGCATTGCGGATTTATGGATTATGCATTGTACTGAGACAACGATTTATTATTTAAATAATTAGTATCTACATCATGATCTACATCATGACTGAGAATCCATTACGATTGTAAATATGTAAACAAATATAATTCCATTTCTTTTAAACTCAAAATATAATTGAAAACCAGTAGTTAATATAGAATTTACTATAACTATGTTTTTAATGGGAATTGAGATACAGAACTGTTTTTAGTTAGAACATAATTATCATTATTAACTACCTATGTTAACACCACAGAATAGGTAAAATAACCCCTAACATATTTCATATGAACACTACCTACCAAAATTCAAAGAATGCCTACATTTGTATGTCTTTGTTGGTTTTATTAAAAAATATTGGTAGTAGGTATATAATATGTTACAGCTAAAATATTGAATTCTTTTATTTTATTAAATAACTAGGTAGTTCATGAATTACCTAAGAATGTTAGTTAAAGTATGAAATAATACATGAAAATTGTACTGTAACTAGTTATTTCATAGAATATCTAGTTATTCTATACAATTTTAGTTTGATATCCTTTAAAGTATAAAATACATTAAAATTTATAATATATATTAAAATATTTTATTTTACTGAATTAGTTATAGTTACCTATATTATTTATTTATTTGTTCATGTAAGGCTATTTAGAGTTGCACAATACCTCTTTTTTTCTACTAACACATTGCTTTGTGCCACATTTTTTGGTACAAGTGCACTTAAAAAAACCTTGACCAGTTTCCAGCGACTGCGCAGTTGCCGCAGATCTTAATGTAATACTTTTATTTGGAACAGCTTCTACAGCTAACAAATTTTCTGAACATACTGTGAACTGGGATCGAGAGTATAGTTGTTATAACACTCCTGTAATTAAAATGTGTAGGTAGGTATCAAATAAATAAAAAATAAAAATAAAAGGATGTCAATCTTATCTGATTTAGTATGTTATATTAAATTGTTGAAAATGTTCGAACTATATTTATTTATCATGATATTTTGTTATTTACAATTTGATACATTAACAAAGTGATGCCAGGGAAAGTATAAAATAACTAGTTAAACTATAAATTATAAGCCTACATTACTTACAAGCTTTAGTTTTTTTTTATAAATTACCTAGTTATTTCATAAACTAACTGATTCAACATTTTAACTGTATATATAGATATTAGGTAATGATTAATAAAATTATCATGGAATTACAAATAACACAATATTAGAACCTGTCTTTGAGAATAATAAATATAAACTTTAAACTTTAAAATACCAATACCGATCTATTTAACTGTAAAATAATCGGCTATAAACATTGATGAAAATGATCTATTCAAAAATGTATCCATTAAAAGAGTAAACATAAAAAACTCTAATTATGTTTAATACCGAGTAAGATAATAAGTAATAATCATTCATTATAAACACTAAATTTTATTTATAATCAATGGTAATTAGTAATTACTATTATAACTGTGAATAACCTTCTTCATAGTCATTATGTGTATATTTTAACTATTTTAAAACTTGTTTTAAGTTGTTTTATCGTTGGTCAATCTCACTAGAAAGTAGTAGAAACACTATAATCCATTCATATTTAGTAATGATTAAGTTTAAACAATTAATATAATAAATTAGGCAGTAGGTACCTATTTTAAAGTAAATATACAATATAAGCAGAAAATAATTATTTTGACAACTCCATGGACTTCACCTATTTTGTTTTGTAGTTAACATCAGTGAACAACAGCAATGGTATTGAAATGGAACTGCCAAAACTAATCAGAAATTATAATATACTGGTAATTTGAATTTGTGTCTATAGAGAATAGAGCTGACAGGCGACAGTAAGCGACTGTCAATTGTCGACTATATTCTACGACTAATTATTAGTAATTACTTAATTATAAATTTCTACACGAGAAATTCTCTTATCAATTTCTTATCACGTGGCGTTGAGAGTATGAAACTACTTGTGACGCGCAGGAGACAAGGGAAAGAGCTGCTGCCGTCGCCGCCGATATTATTACAACAGTCCACTGATTATAAAATTATTACATAATTAATATTGTAATAATTAAACTGTTATGTTATATTATAATATATTGTTTTATTGTATACAGGGTGAATTTTTAAGCATGCTCATCCCTATTTTCCCCTTTATTAGGTCATTTATTTAAATTTTTAAGTATAGACCCAAAGATCATATTTTCAAATTTCTGGTATTTTTTTGTACTAGGTACTCACCTAAGGAGTATACTGTGGCGATATAAACTTCTGTTTTTCGAATGAAAACCCCTCTTCTTTACAAACAATTATTTAGCGATATATCTAAATCAAAATTCTAACTACAAGTTTCTGCGTTATTAAAATTGTTAGGTAAACTAAGGATAATAATCCTTAAAAATGGTTTTAAAATAATTATAAAAAATGTATGTAATGGTATATGTGTAATATTAAATAGTAAATACTTATCAACAATTGTTAGGCCCTGATATAAAATAAATTACTTTGAATTTTAATCACAGTAATATTTAAAAAAATATTCTTCGTAGACAATATTATAGTATAGGCCATCTTCGCTCAGAAACGTTTTTCGTATACATTGATTTTGTATCATTGGATTCAAATTGAACACATCAATTACAGATATATATCTCTAGATACCTGTCAATGTACTGCAGAGCGTTCCGTACTTGCTCACTTTCTTAGTAATGTATTTTTTAGCAGAATACTAAATCGTAATAAATAAAAAAAAAGCTGAAGTTCTTCTAGTACAACACTATAACACTATATATATTTTATATTATTTTATTTATTTTTAAACTTCAGATCACTCGGCAGTGGCGTCATGTCGGTTTTCATAAGAGAGCGGCAAAAGTTATGACTAGCTCAAATTGTTAACTTAAAATCAAACGACTCGCTTTGCTCGCAAGTTGCAGCCACATATTACCCATTTAGATTTTTATCAAATTACCATTCCTACCTCATATTTACATTATCATCTGAATATTTTTTTTTCTAACCGTTCCAACTCATTTTTATATCATTTTTTTGTCATAGTTAACGATTATTTTACCCGTGTTTGAAAATTGAAACATATCTGGAAAACACTATTGATATGCACAATGCACGTATATGTATATGAAGAAAAAAACTTCTTTTACCATAGATACATAGTTTAAAAAAAAAAGTTTATGCTTATGAAAAAAAAATGTTTACATAGTTTCTACTGGATAAAAACCCACATTTAGGCACTATTCACACTATAGGTAACGCAACGGTCCGATCACGCAACAGTCACGGTCAAGTCAAATATTATTTAACTAATTTTAAATTGGTATGTCTACATTACCGATAACGCTCACGTCATGGTCAAATCACAATTTGCATTGAATTTAGATTAATTAGTTGTATTCAATAATTTTAATTTTCATACCTAAGACATACAACCAATTTCTCTCTTGGCGTGATTGCTTCACGAAAAGTTGTATCTTCTTTCTGGATATCTTTCTGTATTCTAGAAAGTATCATCTCGAACGTACCAGTGTTCATACGAAAATATCCATGAAACTTTTTTTCATCTTCTCTTAAATGAGGTAAAAGCGTATAGAATTCTCCTTCTGTTTTTCTCTTTAAAAGACTCGGATGAATCCATATTCTTTTTCTTTTGAGGTGTTGACATTCCTCTTCATTTTCTCGTTCTTCCTCATCCAGGCAAATGGCAATCAAAACCAACTGTTCCAGAGAAAATTTCGTAGCCACGAAAACAAAGTCTGTACCTTGTGATGATCAAGCAACAACTGACTAGACTGTCACTGTACTGTGACCATTCAAGTATGAACGACTAGGGACAGTGACTTGACCGTGACTGTTGCGTGATCTGACCGTTGCGTTACCTATAGTGTGAATAGTGCCTAATAAAATGATTATATTTAAATATACACTTAACCTTATCATAATTTAAGTTTTTGCTTGACACCACTTAAACAAATATAAATGTCAAGTTTTTATTACAGTATATTAATAATATAATATTTAAACAGGATGAGTTGGGGATCCGGGTTCCGCAAGCGGTAACTTTTTAAATCAATATTTTTAATTAGCTATTCATGTGTACCTGTAGTTTTTGTTTGAAACTTATTTAAAAACGAATTTATTTAATAGTCCCCCCCCCCCACTGACTTTAACCGTACAAAGAAACAACCATTTTGTCAGAATTTGAACTTTAAATGGTTATAAAACAAAATCGTGCTTGTATATTTTTAATATTTCACAACTGATATTGTAAAAACATATCAGGGGCCTTGAATTAAATTTTCTCACTTTTTGGCCAAACAAATAAAATGTTATTCACATTTTTAGAAAAATAAACTAAAAAACTTGAAAAATGAAAATGTACTTAAACAGCTTAAACCAAGTCAAAATATTTTGAAAATGTTATCAATTGACAAGTATATGAATTTATAAACATGGTGTTAATTTTAAGTAACGGCAGTTATTGGTTTTTGAATTACAGAAAAATAAGAAAATCGTTACATGAGAAATCGAGTGAGTATCCAATGTTTGCAACAACGTTGTAAGAATTTCAACTTCAAACGCTCATCAAAATTTAATTTGACTTTCCGGGAGGTATATTTTTTTTTTTTTTGATAAAAGAAGACAAACTTATAAGGAATCATGTATTAAATTATTAAATCTTAGATTGAAAAAGAAAATTTTTTATGAATTTTTAACTCAAAATCGATACATCGGTACTATCGGATTATCGATACATCGGTACTATCGGATTATCGATACATCGGTACTATCCAATACTATCGGATAATCGATATATTATCGGTTTATCACATGGATACAATCGTCACTTATCAGTTATCATTTTCGTTACAAAAAATTAAACTTGTTTCTATTTATAACATTAGTTATCATTTCAAACCACAACAATAACAAAAATTGAACATGAAAACAGGGCAATATGTACCAAATGCAAAAAGAGCTACTCAAATTCGGGAACTAATACAACAAACTTATGGTCACATCTGAAATCAAAACACATCCAAAAATTTACAGAGTTAGACAACATCAGAAAGGGCTTACCTCAACTAAATAGTAACAATAAGTAAGTCATCAATTCTTTTATTTATAATAATTATTTATAAACATGAAATGTTTTCATTGTTTTCAACAACATTAATATATTATTTCCAAAGGTAGGCAAGTTATGAAAATAATTAATTGTATCAAGTTAAGTTAATTCAATTAAATGGCCTACAGTTCTAACTGTTAAAAGTTAACAAAAAAAAATTTAAATCAATAAGTTTATAGTTACGAATTTAAGATACAAAATAAAATATACTTAACTCCGTTAAATAGAAAGTTGATGTTTTTATCAAGCCTGAATATTCATAAATCATAAATTGCCCTAGTGTTTTTTATGTACACAAAATTTACATTTTACCAAGAGATTAAGATATTGAACGCTGTACAAACATAAAAGATAAAATTCTTATTATAGATAATAGTAAATTGTTACCAAGCTTATTATAGGCTACATGCCTACATCTATTTTCAATTAAGTATTTACAAAAGTGTGTATTTTGAATACTGTATTAGTCTATTGGACCTATTTGTATTTTAAAATCAAATATTTTTCAAAATTCAAACAAATTATTCATCAATCGTCACATGTTTTTTTCCAGTTCACATGAAGATTCATTGATTGAGGATAATGAAAACCTTACTATTAGTAGTAATGGAAATATAAACAGTCAAACTCTATCTACTTCTAATTCAACCTTGATTCAACCAGTTTTATCTTCCAAAACAACTCAAAAACATAAAAGTTTAAATAATCAAACTTTGATGTCGGCATTCACCATTACAAAAGCTTCACAATCTAAAATTGATGCAGCATTAGCTTATTTTATTGCAGTTGATATGATGCCTTACAATCTTGTGACCAAAGATGGTTTCAAAGTGTATACGAACGCCTTAAACGCTAGTTATCATATACCAAGTCGAAAGACTCTTACTGATTCCAGAATACCGAATTTATATAAAGCTACCAAGACTATCATTGAGTCGATTGTAAATAAAGTTTGTTTTATGTCATTCACCACAGATTGTTGGACTTCTGGATCCAACCAACCGTTTTTAGCTTTAACTGGGCATTATATTGATTCTGAATATAATTTGGGTAAATTAATATTATAATAATATAAAACATTACATTAAAATTAAAAATTTTAACTTTTAACTGTGTAAATACTATATTACAGGTTCTGCATGCTTAGGTTGTATAGAACTGTCAGAAGACCACACCGGAGAAAACTTGGCAGACACTTTACAATTACTTTTATTGGATTATAATTTGTCTGTTTCTACTAAAAATATTTGTGCTTTCACAACTGATTGTGGTGCTAATATTATAAGGGCTATAAAAAATTTAGATGTACAACATGTGCCTTGTTTTGGTCATGCTTTTAACACTGCAGTTGGAAACATATTCAAACTAGAAGAGTTACAAATTGCTGTAAATAAAACACAGAAAATACAAAACATTTTTGCTCATAGCTGGCAAGCTGTCAGAGAGATGAAAATTGAACAAGAGCGTTTTGGGTTAAAAAAACTTAAACTGCCATCTTATTCCAAAACTAGATGGTGGTCCCTTCTAGATTTAATTTCAGTTATTTTAGATCAAGAGTTAGGAATATCTAGTTTTCTCAAGACCTATAAAAGTGGACAGTTTAAGAAGTTGATATTATCTGATGACGAGATTGATGTTTTAAAAAGTATAACTATGATTTTAAAACCAGTGCGAGAAATAACTGACCACTTGGCTGGAGAAAGTTATGTAACTGCATCAGCTGTATATCCCGTTATATTTAATCTGAAAACTAAATTATCAGAAGTGGTGAATAGCAATAATA